GCTTTAGAAGAACTGTGGATGACAGGATGTTAGAGATGTTGTCCGAAGCATGTCAGTTAGCTTTAACCATTGTGTTTAGGTGGGAAGATGATGCTTTAGTATGGTATTTTACCTCAAATGGTATCTACTCCATTCCTTCCCTCTATAAAGTCATCAACTTTAGAGGAGTTTGAACCAGTTTTGGTTTACGCCATTTGGGAACTCAAAATCCCTGGTAGAGTTCACTACATTCTTTGGTTGTTAACTAAAAATAAGATTACGACTAGAGATAATCTTGTAAAAGGAAAAATTTGGTGGATGTGTGCTATCTTTTCTGTTGTGAAAAGGAATAAGTGAATCACCTCTTCTTTGATTGTGTAGTTGCTTCACAACTCTGGTCTCTCAGATTTTTGGGGTGCAGTATAGGCAAATCTTGGTTGACCAATAAAAGAAATGGTGTGTTAAATATAGATACCTCTGCTGCTATTTGGAGCTTATGGAAACTTAGAAAAGATATGTGTTTCCACAATTGGAGGAGTATGGATATACTTCTTCACAAGATGGCTGCTACGGCACAGAATTGGCTGATTTTGTGTTAGGAACAAAAGCGAGAGCTTATGCAAGCAAAGATTGGGGAGATCAAGAGGTTGGCTGGGCAGGTGCTATGGTTACCGATGTAGAAGGCAAGTTGAATCTCTCTTGGGAACAAGTGAAGGAAGAAGGACTTCAACAGGGAGGTGCTGGAGTTCATAAGCTGGAGGGGTCCTAGTTTGGTTTAATGACGTCTTCGTCTTTTTTTCTGTTTTTTTTTTTTGAGAGCTGAGGTGGGTTTTTGGTGTTAGTTTTTTTGGTGAGGTCTCTTTCTGGAGTTTCAGGTGCCAAACTGTTTCGAATGGCATACCATTCACTGCGCCTGGTTGACATTGCCTTTTGACTGATATTATAAAAGACAGGCTTGGTCCTAAAACTTAAAAAAAAAAAATTATCCGCGGTCAATAGAGAAACATGCAGATTATGCTGCCTGCAGGCCCTGTTGCTCAACTCCACTGGTCCAATGCGTCGTCCGGTCTGATCCCAACTTATGGTTATTATTATTTCCTTTTTTTTTTTGAAAACTTGCAGGAGCACTGCATATCATTTAAGAAGAGGGGGAAGCAAGTTCAATACAGTGTTAAATTACATAGAAAACCAAAATAACACTACCACAGAAGCCCTCTTTCCAACTAGCTAATGCCATTGATACAACTCCTCAGGTCCATTTCTTCTTTTGCTAGATTGAAAACATGCACCGACGTTGTGGTTATTATTTGTCAAAGTACACTACGTACTATACTACACTAGTGCATGCATGGCTTCATGCGTTTTTTTTTTTCTGTCACTCTCACGTAGGGGGTGTTTGGTTCCTCGTCTCACTTTACCACGCCATGCATGTGGCTTGCACAAATGGTAGGCTCCTGTTTGGCTGCGGCGGCGCCACAAATAGCATGGCATGCATTGGCATACAACCAAACATGCCCTACACTTCTTGTTAGCACTGCCCCGCGGAAGATGAAGAAAAATTGTGGGACCTGTTTGGGTCGGGCTCGTGTGTCAGTGTCCCCTGCGGTATATCTTGCCGTTGTTTTCACTTCATCTATCACTCACATGTCTATCACAGTGCTTGTGCCCGCTGATTTTGCTGGGGAACAATATTTTTTCTCGTGCTATATATAATAGTACCGAATTGTGTTCAATATAACCGCTACTATTCTACACCTAGGGTGCAGAATAGCGTGATATATATATATATATATATATATATATATATATATATATATATATATATATATATATATATATATATATATATATATATATATATATATATAGAGAGAGAGAGAGAGAGAGAGAGAGAGAGTATATTAAGTAGCGCTACAAAAATAAGTTATTCTGTAGCCACCACTATTTACGATAATGTGAATACATATTTACGATAGTTGGGTTATTATAACACATGGGGATATTTACCATAACGTTATAGTAAACCACTTAGTAAGGAATTACTATAATCTCGTAAATTAACATAGTAATTATCGTAACTCAAAGTGGCTACAGAATAAGTTATTTTGTAGTCAGCTACAGGGTAGTATATATATATATATATATATATATATATATATATATATATATATATATATATATATATATATATATATATATATATATATATATATAGTGTGTGTGTGTGTGTGTGCAAGCAGGAATTCATAGATTTTTTTTTTAATTCATAGCATGGAATGTTACATAGGTACTCCTTGAATATACTCCTTTGTGTTCTTGTGGCCATATTCGATATTGATGGATGGATGTGTTACAACAAGGGTGCGCGCAGGCGCAATCCAAAAAGAAGTAGGCACTTTGGTCGGCTTCATTCGGATGCTTTTGGTAATCTCAACCATTTTCTCTAACGAATTCGTCTTAGGAATAAGTTTGATCTTAAAATTAGCGCACAAGTATATAGAAACATTTCTTTTTTGGTCCTGATGAAATGTCTTGTTAGCGCTTGTATACGTACCCTCTGGTTTTGTTGTAGGCTTATTTTTCTATATATATCCTTTTCAGCTGGCACTGTATTCTACGGTGTTTTATATGTGCCATTTGATTATGACTTGCGGTGACGTCATCGGATGGATGGATGTGGACTTTCTTTTCTTTCTTATTTTTACATGTCGCGCGTGATCGATTCCGACCAAAGTGTGCTATCATAACAAGAAAATGACTTTTCCCCACGAATGAGTGTGTCCACAGCAAACATGCTACCGTGTTGAAAAATAAGCAATGAGACAGCTAAACAATTAACTAGTTAGCCTTAGAACACTTGGCCCTTGGGCCGGTTCGGCTGGTATTAAAGCCGGCTGATAAGTTGACTGAAGCTGATTTATTGTGAGAGAAAAAAATTATAGATTCTAGCTGATAAGCCGGCTGATAAGTTCAAGCGAACAGGCCCAACCCATCCGACAAAGCTAAGCTCTATGCTTAACATATGGAGTAGTATTTGTTTAGTAGTTTTTGCCATGGAATAATTTTTTTCGGTCTCTTCTCCGTTTTGTTGTGGTTATATCTGGCCACTATGAATGACTAGGGAGAACATGTTTCAGATCAGTCTTCCTCACTCTTCAGTGGCATAAAGAAAAACAAAGGAAGACACAAGAAAGAAGAAGTTTCTCAACTCCGCCTGCAGGAATGTTGGCCGTCGTTCGTTGGTCATATGTTCTCAGGCCTTTTGCCGAGTGTTTGCCTGTGCGGTCATCCATACGAAGCGTGGGTACAGTATTGATGAAATTCAGTTTTTGGATATGCGTGGTGTAATCCAGAGTGTTTATAATGTGATGATGTACCCAGCTATATTTTAATATACTTCTTCTTTCGTCTAAAAAAAAGTTGCCTCAAGATAGAAAGAAGTATGTGTAGAAGGACTTGTATCTCTGAATATGCGACTTGTTACCAATCATGGTTCCTCTCCTAGGTATCCTCCTTTTTAGCTGGAATCTTTTGCATCTTTTTTTTTAAACTAGAATCTTTCGCATTTTACTAGTATATAAGTAGATATATTCTCTTTTTTACTCTTTATATACCCACCACACCATCTTCCTTCCTCGTTGGCCATATGGTATTCCTGGACGGTGATTTAGTACAAGCTCTTTTTATGGCATTTTTGTGCATGCTAGTATTAGTACTGTTACAAATATTACTTTGTAAAGGTTCATGACAAGTAGCCGTTCTATATCACGTCCCTCGATTATGCAATCTAGGATTTTAAGAAGTGATATCTTTTTAATAAATAATGAGAACTAAGAGTTAGAAGGAAAAACACAAATATAGGAACATGTTGACAGGACTCTAATCGGCAACCCAATATCTAATGTAGACACTTATCAACTATCCAACAACCAATAAGTTGCACCCCAATATCTAATATAGGCATATCAACTATCCAACAATGTGTTAGGTCACGTCCACGTAGGCATAATTTGTGCCGACAGACCTATTGGCAGTTGGAACGTTGATAGATAGGCCGCATTGGCTGTCCACCTGTCAATAAGCCTATGTCCACGCCAAACAACGACGTGGACAAGTAGTGAGACATGTTTTCCTTTCCTGTAGATCGTTTTGATTTTCTAGGTTTTTTCTCATCGATTACGATGTCCATAGGGACCTCCAAACTACATCTACACGTGGGCGATTTCAGCGAGGGGATTCTAAACAATGTTTCTTAACAAATGGATATACCGGATTAAGTTTTAGTTTGAAAATAAATCTAAAGTCATTGAGCTTGTTTTTGAACCATTTTAATTTAATTACAAATTAAAACTTAATTTTGAGCATGTCCTTTGTTAAAAGAACTTTAGATTTCATCTAAGCACATATATAAAAACATAAAAAAATTATTACGTTTTCTCTGAATAAAAAATGTAGATAAATTTTGAGCCAAGTCCAAGCGAAAACGAATTTGCGATCGAGGATGAGCCGTGACTCCGCGTGAACGCATCCGGGCTTCACGGCATCTGCCTCGTGGAGCAGGGGATCCGCCCGTGGATATTCCCTGGCCTCCTGCTAGTAGGCAGTAGGGCGTCTGTCGTGCCGCCTCGGCGGAGTGTTGGGCTCAACTGCGAGGCTCTCCTTTCGTGGGCATCGTTTGGACTTGGCAAGGCCCATTGTAAGGCCAGTGGGCATCCGAAAAACTAGACATCACCTTACGTTTCTCGGTTTCTATAAGCCCAGACTTGCCTACCGGTCGGTAGACATAAAAATGGGCCGAACAAGTTTAGCTCTACATAGTCTGCTGTGTAGCTGCTTTCTGTTGGAATCAGTGGAGCAGTCCCAGATAAACCTTAAACGTTGGGAGAAAAATAATAGAAACAGGAAATGGAAGGGGATTTTTTGACATCTGGTTTTCAATTCGGAATGAACCTATACTTATCTCGTTTTCATCCTGATTTCAATCTATATATGTAACAATTATATGTTCAAGCGCCGGCACCATGACGCAGTACGTCCCGGCGCTACGTTACTACAGCGGCGGCGGCATATCCATCATGTCCACCGTCTACGGGTCCTCGGAGTGCTACTTCGGCCTCAACCTCCAGCCGATGTCCGGCGGCGACGCGGCCGAGGCGTCCTACACCATCATGCCCAACATGGCCTACTTCGAGTTCCTGCCCACGGACGTCGCAGACGACGCCACGGCGGCGAGCCAGCTCGTGGAGCGCGCCCGCGTGGAGTCCGGCCGCGAGTACGAGCTGGTGGTGACCACCTACGGCGGGCTGTACCGGTACCGCGTCGGCGACGTCCTCCGCGTGTCGGGGTTCCACAACGCGGCGCTGGAGTTCCGGTTCCTGCGCCGCCGCAACGTGCTGCTGTCCGTGGACGTCGAGAGGACCGACGAGGCAGAGCTGCAGCGCGTCGGCCGCGCGGCGCGGGCGTGGCGGACTACACCACCCGGACGTGCGCCGAGACCGTCCCGGGGCACTACGTCGTGTACTGGGAGCTGCGTATGCTGTCTTCCTCTTCAGCCACCGCCGCCGCAGGGACGACGTCGACGGGCGTGGTAGTGGACGGCGGCGACGTGCTGGGCCGGTGCTGCTTGGAGATGGAGGAGGCGCTGAGCTACTCGTACCGCGAGGGACGGGTGGGGACTGGCTCCATCGGCGCGCTGGAGATCCGGGTGGTCCGGCCGGGCACGTTCGAGGAGGTGGCCGACTACGCCGTCGTCTCCCGCGGCGCCTCCGTCGGGAAGTACAAGGTGCCCCGGTGCGTGGCCATCGTCGAGCTGCTCGACTCGCGCGTCGTGTCGAGCCACTTGCTTTGGCACTGGGACTCTGCTGCTCTGCGGTTTTGAAACGGTTTCTTGCTTCTCGATTAGCTCACCTGGTCCGGCCATCGAGCTAGGCACTTCAAGTTTATCTCCGCAGACCATGTACATATGTGTATACTAAGCTCGTGTTGAACTTGTTCGTACGTTTGCTAGATTGGACATACCTCTTATGATTGGTGAAACTGAGGTATTTAAAGATTATATTAAAACTGCTCATAACCCTAATTTTTCACCTGTCTCTAAGCAAACCACCGGTAGAGATCTGTTTAAATACTACAATGAGAAACGTGATAAACTGATGATCTGTTTAAAGAATAATGCTGTTTCATCTGTTGCTATTACCTCTGATATATGGTTTGGAAAGGCTAAAGAAGATTATTTATCTGTTCTGGCTCATTTCATTAATGCTGATTGGCAATTAGAGAAAATGGTACTTGGTTTAAGGTTGATTGATGTGTCCCATAATGCTGAGAACATTGCTGAGCATGTTGCATCTGTCCTTGCTGAGTATGGTATACTTAACAAGGTTTCTTCTGTAACTTTGGATAATGCATCTGCAAATGAAAATGCTATGGATAAACTGAAACATATACTTAAAGAATATTTGGGTTCTGATCTATTTTTGCATCAACGATGTGCTTATCATATTATTAACCTGATTGTGAAAGAAGCACTGGCTACTGTGAATCCTCTCATTGAGGATTTTAGAACAACAATCTCTTTTATGAACTCCTCTAATTAAAGAATTGCTGCATATAAGAGTTATTGCATTGCTAGTGGTGTTAGACCTAGAAAGTTTGGATTAGACATAGATGTTAGATGGAACTCTACCTACCTAATGCTTAAGGACTTGCTGCCTCACAAGAATACTTTCAGTACTTTTATTGAGGTCAATTACCCTAGAGGTTCAGGTAGTGGTTTCCTTTTGACTGATGATCACTGGGCTATGGCAAATAAAATCTTGGAATTTCTTGAATTGTTTTATGACTCAACTGTTGATTTGTTTGGTGTTTACTATCATACTTCTCCACTTATGATTCATCATCTTGTTAAGATTGCTATACACCTCCATAGGTATCAACATGATGAACATCTAAAATCTGTTATCCAACCTATGATTGACAAATACAATAAGTACTGGAAGAACATACCTGATCTTTATTCTATTGCATTTATATTGGATCCAAGAGCTAAAATTAAGGGATTTACCAAAGTGCTTAGGAAGTTACATTCTCTTTTTAATATTGACTACACTAATAAGCTGCTGGACACCAGAGCTCTTCTGTTTAAAATATATAACATGTATGATGTAATGTATGGCTCTAATAGGCTGAAAAGGGTTGTTCCTCCATCCCTGTCTGGTAAGAAAAGAACAGCTTGGGCTGAAATTTATGATGACGAGGAGTTGGATGTTGGAGCTGGCTGTTCTTCCCTCCCTTCTAGTCTTGATCATTCTAGGAGTGTTTCTGCCACTTCCTTGTTGCAGGCAGCAACTGCTAGTTCTAACTCTAGTGAACTTGCATCCTATCTGGACTATGACACAGTAAGCCAGTTGGATGATGAGTTTGACATCATGCAGTGGTGGCATGAGCACAAGCTTACTTATTCAGTACTTTCTGTTCTTGCTAAAGACATTTTGACAGTGCCTGTGTCAACCATTTCTTTAGAGTCTACTTTTAGCTTAACTGACAGGATCATCGAGTAGTGGCGGCGGAGGTTGAACCCTGAAACTGTAGAGGCGCTTACCTGCATCAAGGATTGGGAGAATGCTGAGATAAGACTGCATCACATGGTGGAGGACAAGGAGCTGGAAGAGGCCTTTGCTGGTCTTTATCTTGATGTCGAATAGTTCACTTCCTATTTATGTAATGGTTCTGTAATAACTGAGACTTGGACTTGTGGTGATGGATGTAACGAACAATTAATCTAGGAGCTGGCTGTACTCTTTTTCTGTTTAGGGTTTCTTATAAGGGTGAGTTTTACCTAAACAAGTTTTTAATGAGACAGCCATTGCACAGCTCCTACTTAAATTAGTTTTAGTTTTAAAAGTTTGTGTTCTTTGCTGTGCTGTGTTCTGATCTGTTTTTGATCTTTTGTGAACTTAGTCATTTTAGATCTCTTTGAATTGCTGTGCTGAGTTCACTGGGGGGTTTTGCTAGTTTAGTGCCTAGGCTGGCATGGGCACGCTGGGCCTGGAGTCGGCACGGCATGACACGGCACGCTGCAGGAATGATAGTGCCGTGCCTGGGCCTAGAGTCGGGCACGGTGGCACGACACGGCACGGCACGGTTCATCAGCCGTGCCCAGGCGTGCCGTGCCGAGGCGGACTAGTGCCGTGTAGTGTCGTGCCGGCACGTTTGGAAAACTATATTCTCGGTTAGCACACGTGGTTGCGCCATCCTGCTACGCACTTCAAGTTTATCTCAAAATACATACTCCATCATGTATGACCATGTACATATACATATATGTGTATATGAAAAATTTCTTGATTAGCACACGCGATCCGGCCATCGAGCTAGGTGCTCTAGGTTTATCTCAAAATCTTTAATGGAAGCAGCCTGGCATGTGGGCAAAGTCTGTGCGCCCTATGTACTCCGCCTGGAGCTTGTTTCAACCTTTTCGTTACATCATGAATCTATATTTACCTATCAACCTTCCATATTTTATATCCATATTTTAATTTGAAACACTAGTGCTTCTTGAATATATATTAATCAAAATTTTCCTTTCATATTTTATTTAAAAAAGGTTTGTTTAGCCCAAATTATAACCTTATTATCTAAAGTAACAACTTACAAAATTTATTGTCACTGGGTATCGATTTTCAGTGAATTGTTAGTGTCATTGATATGTGGTTTGTTAAGGCAACATTTCTTCACTACTAACAAAATATTAAATTAATATTTATCCTAATGTAAGTATTTTTACTTTTACCACATGACACATACCATTTTATGCTTACTATTAATAGTGGTACAAGTATGCAATTTACTAGTATATATTGTACTTTAATAGCTTATATTGGTATATTTACATATATTTGAGGGATATATTGTTTATGATGGTAGATTTGGGTAATTTATATGCAAATTAAAAGGGTCACTTTGTGTTATCTATCATAATGGCATATGTGGTTAATTCAAAAGAAATTTTTGGTGTTACTTTGCATTATCTTTCATAGTTGTAGATATAGGTAATTTAGATACAAATGTAGGGGTTATTTTAAAGTCATATTTTATAATGACAGATGTGAGTGTTTTTTTTAGAAAACAAGATAGATCCGGTGTCTCTTATTGGCAATGATGATTAGAAGGTCAAATATTTGCAATTTTGTGAGAACTTCTAGGATTCATCATTTTTCCTAGCACGGCTCGTGAGGACTAAAGCGGATGCTCCATTATTAGATGGCTCCAACTAGTAATGTATTAAGATTAATACTGGATAAACCATAAAAGTTTGTTGACAGACATTTTCATCTAGAAAATGGTCAGGCTTCACTCTAGGAAAATATTTTGTTTGGGTTTAACTGATAGCATGAGTGCATGAGTGAAAGGGCATGAGTTCTTTCATTCATACCAATTCTGCAATGTTGCTATCATGTGCAGTGTGTAGCTTAACACACAAGTCATAATATGGCACCACACCACAAGTCCACCATGGATGGAGAGCGTGCATGCAATGCACGCATACATATGTAGATTCCCTCCTCTTGATCCATACAGTACTAGTATATATGTACCAAAGTCTTCTCCTAGTGGCTACTGGCGCAATCATGTGACAATACACATCGTCGTTTGTCACGAAGCTAGCTATGTATAGGCATGCACATCAGGAGATGGCGATGAAATTGTTCCCCAACCGAATCCAATCCAAACAGCAAGAATTCCAATAAGCAACTAATAGTGGTTGCATGCATGATGAGCAAGTCAATGGTGGATTGGTGATGCTATCATCTCTTTGATCTCCACCAAGCTAAGCAAACGAAAACCAAAGTCCTCTCTAGTACTGGCTCAAGCTGAGTACGTCTCCTTCAACTTTACCAATCCATTTTTCAAATTGAACAAACAAAAGAAAAACAAAGCCGATATGACATAGCAGGTTTGAATTCGTGTAGTCAAATTACATATACAAGTTTAGGACATATAAAACTCGTATCAATATATTTGTATTTAAAATGCCTCTGAGATAAAGTGATAATATATTATAAGACAAATTAAGAGTCAAAACTGATTTTATATGACTTTTCCCTAATCAAAATACGCCGATTATTCCGAGATGGAAGGAGTAGTTTTTATTATGTTGTTGTCTGAAGCGTCATATACACTTGTGACTTGACAGAAGGTGATACTTTTCAAAGAGCCATCAAGGAGAATAGGGTCACTGTTGAAACAAAACATCCCCGTTTTCACTAATTATTTTCCATGCGCGCCTCTCTTGAAACAAAACATATAATGCAAGCAAGGCAGGTAAGAGATGATGAAATGCGCATGTATGCACCATATCTCATTAATTTGTAGATGATAATAATCAAACGGGGAACATTAACAAATTGGGGAATAAATAAAATGAGTGAGCATTATGTCAGACCAAAACGCCCAATGCATCACAGCAAAATACCCTCAAATGGAATACGACTTGTGTGTAAACTAATTTTTTCATCCATGCATTTTCAATGCTTACAAACTCTTAATTTTCCATTCATGCATTCGTACTACAATGAATCACACGCTTTGATCGATCAATGAAAGCAGAGGGGCGACAATTAAGCCGCTGGGATCGGAAAAAACTAAATGATTGATTAATTAACTAATGAACTATTTTTTCGATCCCTAGCTACGTCATGCATTCATGCATAAAAGAAATCTGAGACCGTTTACGTCAGAACTCAGAAATGATGGAATGATATAGGCATTCATGCATTCGCATACTATATTATTTTCATGCACTGATGCACATATGATAATCTTGTTAATTTGACGATGATTTAATGGCGCGAATGGACGGCCGGCAAAATTAAGGCG